TCGCGCGGTCCCCCCGAACAGATACGAACGCTGCTGCCCCGGAGCTGTGCGACGCGTGCCAAAGCTCTCGTTAGACTACCATCCGATAGAACTAGCGCCACGCCCTCCACGCAGGTGGCAGCACCCACCGTCATCTCCGTGGACTTACCACGAACTCGTTCCACCCTCCTCCGCGCGACTATCTATACCGGACCAGACGTTCGGTCTTTACCCGGTGGCTCTTCCCTTTAGTGGTTTATCCTTGCCCTCTCGCGCAACGCGCGCTCTCCTCGTCCCACCCTCGCTGCCTTCCTCTCGTTCATATTTGCTTACCGTCCCTTGCGCTGTACGCTCGCTTGGTCCCCCCTCGCCGTGTTCTTACTCTCTTCTCAATTTTTCTGCCCTCCTTCACCGTACCCCTTTTCAACGTTACTCTTTTCCGCGCGATTTCATCCCTCGCCGGTTTTTTCTTTGCCTTCCCCTCTTCGCTCGGGTTTCGCGGATCTCGCACTCGCTTATGCTACCGTGCGGCTCCGTTGCTTTGATTTTATATTTCTTGGGACCGGGTTTCGGGGAATGCGCTCTCGTTGGTCGGCTCTTTTTTCGGGTACAGTGAGTGACGTTCGGAATTGTAGAGCATCGGGTATTGCTTTGGATGTGAATTGATTTTGTTATATGGTTCGGGTGAAAATGATTCGGACGGATGCACGTTGACGCATTTGCAGTTTCTGTGGGCGAATTGTAAAGTGGAAGGAGCAGTCGAGTTTGTTATGCAGCTTCGATGCAAATGATTTACATACGTAGACGTTTTCTTGTTTTGTGTAGAGACACTGTAAGGTGGATGTACTATTTAATTCTTTCGTTTAATTTGAATCAGAGTAATTTCAAGGTGTATTCGTTAATGTATTTTACGTGAAAGATCTGTAATGTGAAAATTTTTGTATTTGTGAGAAATAAATTTAATGTATTAAGAATGGCGTGACGAGATTCAGAAATTATCCGATTTGTTTACGTTGAGTTGTTAGTTATATTTATGGAGTTATATGAATTGTTTTTTATGTTTCACGTAATTGTAAACATTACATCATTACTACCTAAAATAAACATGTTATGACCAATTCGTATTGAAAAACATGAATTGTTACTTTAAAGTAATTGTCGAAGAAGTTAATATCAACGAATAGTTGCTATCAAAAATTATGTACAGCTTCTGTAGCTTAAAATTACACATCTTAATATTTACTAGATTTTTGTTTGCAACCTACTGTTAATAAGTACATAAAATTAAAATAATTTGCACAAATGCATTATTTTTATTCAATAGATTTTATTCAAAACTTAAGTAGGTACTTAAGAATCAAGAAATTTGAAACGGACGCAGAACAATTTAGTGTAGCGATGCCGACATGTAATATTAGCTTCATTTACGTTAGAAATGCAAGATGTGCTTCGTAAGACATTTCATAGAGTATCTTTGACCCCAACTGACCTCATTGAATCTTATGTCAACCCTCGTTGAAATTCTTATGATGTTTTAAAATTCACACGGCGTCTTGAAATTCACATGACGTCCTATGACGTCACGTCCATTCTACTTCCATTTCATAGTAATATATAGTATGTACTTTACTACAAAGAGTTCTTCAATGCGATCTTCTGCACGTTCTTCTATTTTAAATGCTGAAACTGTCTTTCTTCATAAAACAAGTTTTCGTATTTTAAAGCAACCGAATTCGTGTAACCACATAATACGAAAGAACTTTTTTATATGACATGTTATGTATCACATTATATAATAACAAATGTTTAATGAATGTCTTTCATACCCCGAAATATAATAGAAAATTTTTATAAATATTCATATATCGAATACAAATTTAGAAACCGATTGTTCCAATTTCCATATAATTAATGACTCTAATTTCGAAAAGTATATCTCATTTTAAAGTTGTTTGCATATTAATTGCAAAAGGTAAATAATCTTCATCTTCGAAATTTCGAAGTTTCGAATACTACAGTTTGCTTTGAACACCGAGAGTCTTGGGTTTCGCAAGATAAAGCAACCCCCTGTGCTCATGGTGACCATCAATCAATGTTACATCAATTTTATACATAATTGAGAAAATTAATCGTGTTTAAATACATATGGCATCATCGAAACATACATAGGTTATTTGAAAGTTGATTCTTATTGTAAAGTTGGAGTTTTTAAAAACTATACTCGACGTAAATAAATAATTTTCAGATTATTTCACACAGAATTCTATAATAGATATTGTTATTAGCACATATTGTGCGTTAGTATTATTTTAATGGTGACGATGTCACCGTTATCAGTATCCTAATAGTGAATAATATTTTGATGTCACAATGTCATGTTCTCATGGTCTAAAGTTCATTGGACATTGTCACGCAAGCTTTCGGCCACCAAACAATCATGGATCGAGGAAGACGAATATGTATATTCACTATCAGCTCTTATCATTTGATTCCACGAATTCGATCACCACTGGGAATTCCTGATACTTTTGCACGCATCGCTTCTACTGTTATGGGTATTATAACCACATTATACATTTCATGTATATTTGCTGTCGATCTTTCATTTGATTATTGAAATAAATCACAAGTAGCCTATACCTAAAATATTCATTAGTATCTATTTAAGTATTTAAATATTTACTTTCGCTGAAAGTATACATTGCTATTTGAAATACTTAAAATATACTTTCTTATTTGTATTGCATGAAGTTTATTAGTCAATTAGTTGTTAAATAAAGGAATTAAACTGAAATATTTAAATGCAGTTTATATTTGCCAGGAACTTAGAACACATAATTTCATTAATACACTTAAAAGAGTACTTATTAATACATCTAACACGTTGTACACTTTTATGTATCACAAATATATGTAAAAGTATTAAAACACTTTTACTATATTGCCATTCACAGACAAGAACAAAATAAATATATTCCTTTCAATAATTACTTTGTTGTTTCACACCTAAAACACTTTTTTCTGCACTTCCACACAACTCCGCTGGATTCTGAGGTAGAACTGGCGCTACGAAATTCTTGAACGTTTCTAGCGGACACATGGCAGTGGAACATCCGGGGATGTTGAGAGCTCGAAGTTTGCCATTATTTCTGTACAATATCTATTAAAAATGAAAAGAAAGGACTAGATTATTCAAAACTCGGCATCATATTGTTATCGTTATTATTAACCCTTAGCACCCCAGGTTGTTTTGTAATCTATCAGCAACTGCAACTAATTTTTATAGTATTCCTAGCGAAAATTATAAATGCTACATTCCTTCAATCTTTTATTTTCCTTGTTAGTACAAAATTCGGATGTGCGGAAAATCGAATAATTTTAGGGTAGTTTCTTTAAGATTCATTAAAATATTTAATATTATAACTGGTGCAATATTGGAGCCTAGTTTAAAGGGTTAATATGAAAGTAGCGATTTACATAATATGATTGTTATTACAAATTTTAATTACGCAACTACATTACCTGTACATAATGTTGATTATCATTCTCGTGCAACTCAAACATCAGGGAGCTACTGTACGACGGTATTTCGTCATCGAAATTCTTCAATGTGACCAGAATACTAGCAATATTTAACTCATGACCGGCATACATAAACGCTTTCCGTTTATCGTTCTGATTTAAATAATCATCGACGTGTTTTAAAAATTCAAGAATCCATATACCTGTGAAAAGATAAATGTAACTTTGTATAGTACGTAAAGAATAACTAAAAACAAAGTTTCGATCGTTTGAACAAATGTTTCTGAAACGTACTTAGATATTCTAGAAACGATAACAATAAATATCAAAGAAATGTTTTTGAATTACTATTCAAGTATATACAAAGTGTCTCATTTTAACCAATCTACATATTTTCGTAGAAAATATTTCACATTAATGTCATACAATTTTAATTATATTATTGTTATCAATATCTTTCTAGTCAAGATGACAATTTTAAAGTTTTGTTTTTCATACAATTGTGTTTACATCATATTATAGCTAATAGTATGAAAAAAAAATATTCCAATGAATCATTGGCATGTGATTTTCTTATGACCGTGAAAAAAATCTAATGTTCGTAATATAAAAACTTAAAAAGTGTCCATTGGAACAAAGTAACTAAGATTCTTGTAAACGTACCGCCTGTTAATTGTTTCAGTTTCGTAGTCCGAGTCCGAATAAGGATATCCTGTACGGCAAGTTCGTCTAATTTTCCATTCGGGAAAACCGATTCCGTCCACTCAGGTAATTCCAAGCCAATATCTCTCTGAAAATATTTAAAGTGCTTACGTAGCTTACCTTATATATACTTACATCGTCTAATTATAAGATATATAGAACTTCATGAATATGCTAATCTCATTCAACCTCGTGATAAGAGAACTTTCAAAATTCTCTCATATCAGAAAATAATTCGTGTACAATTAAAATATCTACAACATTAATTTGATCATTCTTCTGAATTAAAGCTACATGTAAATAAAATAAATTCTTAAAAGGCAAACAAACTTCTTGAGTTCATAACAACAATTCATACTACTTACAAAAATTCCAATATAAAGATCGTTACGCATTTTGATCTATCATTACTTAATTTCGATAATATTGATGTAAAACGTTAAGTATTTTAAAAAACCTGAATTTCACGTAAACAGTAACGCATTTACTAGTTACTTTCGTAAAAGTAATAACTATATCATTAGTAATTATATGATTAACCGGTTAACTGTGAAATTTAGAAAAATCTCTCGTTTTGTGTAATAATATAAAAAATTGAAGTATGTACTCGTCAAACGCAGAACGAATGCACCTAGAATGTTTTTTTTTGAAAAAATAAATAATTCGTCGTAGAAAGAATTAGTATCATTTCAAGCTTCAAGATGACGTGTGTACTCGTGAAACGCAGTTAATTGGTTAATATATTGACAAGAGGTATGAATAATGTTGTGCACCTGTGCATACAATATTTGGCGTAAATTGAACGTGTTACGCTGCGTAATATTAGCCCCCGTGTGTTCCGACAGGTATTTATAAATTTCCGTGTGATCCTGTTCAAATTTGAGTAAACGGCCGTCTGTTGTTTCTACCTCGTCTCTCCATTTCTTGAAGTTTGCACAGAACATACCGTTATAGAGATAATCGGTCGACATCGGCGGCGCCCACACTGGTATAGGTTGCCAGTTTAAATGGTCATTCCATCTGCAAGATTTAGTCGTTTCGTTTGCATTAATTCTTTCGCTTGATACAAAGGGAATAAATCGTTAAAAATTAAGGTTCACATTTGTTCCTTGTATGGCGGATATAGACCAGCTGCCACGAGTTCTCCGGTCATCACGATTCTGTCTATTTCGTCAGCGCGGAACCAAATGATGTCTTTCGAGTAAATCGGCCCTAAGAATTCGTCGTATCTTGCTCTGAAGAACTGTCCGAGTTTGTACGCTGACATTTTACCAACCTGAATTAGCATAGAGTTGCTGTCAATGTAGAGGTATTGGTCAAGTTGTACTTGTATTTGTTTCATAAATCATGAAGAGAATGATTGAGATCGAGATGTTTAAACAACAGATTTCTTTTAATCATACGTTACATTAAATTTAGTTATAGAACGTTTCTTCTACCATTAAAGTAGAATCCTTAATAGAAGTTTATGATCAAATGCCAATTTATTAATGAAATTATTAGAAAAATCTTTATTTTCTCAACTGAACTCCGTAGTGGAGTCAACCTTTCCGTACCTAAATTGTTTGATAATTCTCAAGAAAAGTAAAATACATATAAATATAAATAGTTCTTAAAAACATGTATACATCTGAAAACCATATAGATCTATTATGGATTCCTGTTAATACGATTATATATTGATTGGAAAATGCTGAAGTAATCGAAACAAAATATGTTACTACTAATTTTTATTTTAATTTTGGATTGTTCTCAATAATGAATTCAATCAAGTGCAAGAAATTCAATATTTCTATGTTCTGCTTCAAGTAAATGATAAAATTTGTGTTATATTATCCAAATAGCATAAAAGAAAACTTTTATATTTTTTAATGTGAATATATACATACTAATTGGTAATGACATTTTATTTTATAATTTGATATACCTTTTATAATTATAATACTATTTAACTGTAAATAACATACGTACATTTGATAAACCTCCGTGTCCCTCTGGATAGTACGTTTCGTTAATATATGGGTCCTTGGGATATATTGCTGCTCCTTTCGTAGGCATTCTGTTCCCATGCCTAAACAGCGCTTGCACAAGTTTAAGGTCGGCGCAGCACGGTTGAAGGTAAACCAAGCAACCGATGATTGTTAAAATCCACACAATATTCATGTTTCTAGGTAACAGAAATGTGTATTTGCTAACACTTTGAATGATATGTTATGATATTTGTGATGTTACGCGTGGCTTAAAAATGAGCTAGTTTAACATTAACAATGTTGTATGAAGTGAGGAACAAGAGTATTGGTACAACGTAATAGAAGGCAAACGTGAAAATATTTATACACTAGTCGCTTATAATAACGATGTATAAAAATCGACCGAAAGTTGATAGTCAGTTCAGTTCACTGGAGGAAGTTTATATACACAGAATTTATTATCTAAAGAAATGAAGTAGTAAATCATCTAACTACCGTTTAATTTTTTATCGCAATTGTAGCTATGAATTCCAAAACAACACAAGTCCACTTTTTGGCACTATATGTGCTATTCGCATTGCTGTTTTTAGTGTACTCAGATTCACGTAATGATATTTAAAACAATGCAGAAGTTTCACTGCTTACATGTTTTTTAAGAGCAACGACATTCGGAATAGCACAAGTCCTTAACACGTGCGGCTTTAGAACTCATCAGCATAACACTATGAATGTTGAAATGAACTTCGAAACTTCAAAACTCGTAAGCACAGCAACAAATAAATTAATTACGCAATCATTCCAAATTTAAAGGAAGAGCTAATAATTTTAATATTCACTGAATAGAATCAGTTTATATTAGCGAAATTATGCTAAAATCTGAAAAATGTCAAGATATAAAAAGGTGTTTGTCGTCAATAAACCAGAACCATCCTGCATACTTTGGAAATTTATTATAAAAATAAAAATCAATTCGGGAAACTAAAAATGATAATTTCCAGAGATAAATGTTAGGTAGCAAATGACCATTTGTAATTATAAAATGTAATTTGTCCATTTCAATCCAAATTTTTACTAAATTGCTTAGTAATTTTCTCTTTCTTCAACCATTTCCAAAAAAGCACAAGGCCATGGTTTTTCGAGGATTTTTATACAAAAGCCAATTATCTAATATTATTAAAAATATGTACACATTGAATTTAGTACAATAAATATTCACAACAAAAATAATCAAAATAGATATTAAATTAACAAAGGTATACAAAATTTTTCGAATTATTAGTTACTGGGCTAGTGCTGGTTTGGACTTCATAGCTGTAATTGCCAAAAAAACTGACTATCCTAGTAATTGGCGAACTGTGAATAATTAAAATACTGTTTCAATTAATCAATTTCATATAAGTCAACGGCTTATAGTCGCGTTAAAACATAAAAGGAGTGTATGAACCCCCGAAATGTAAACGTTAAATTGCGGCGTAAGGAACGTAACAATGAACGGTCAAACAATAGGTTCTCGGTATGCAATATTACGAAGAATGTCTGTCCTCTGCTACACAATTGACGAGAATTATCTGCCAGCGGCAGACGTTTTATGACTCATAACACAATACAGGTAACGTAGAATTTGAAAACGGAAAATGACGTAATGGAGTACCTATTTATATTCATTAAAATCACGAAAATTCAAAACGGTAATGGAAAAACCTTTGTCATCCTCTATGCATACATTATTCAAATTCTTAAGTCTGATCATTCGACTGCAATACTTTTTAACCTTATATCGCTAATGTGTCACAATTTATTAACCAGGTAACTGTGGAATTTAGTTTAAAAACTCTTTGTATCCATCAAACGCATAACAAATTTTACAAGAAAAACCAAAACAAAATGAAGAAGAATTACATGTTTATGTGACAAACTAATTAATTCATCGTTGAATTCTCGTCAAACGGAGCTAACTGGTTAACAACCAATGATGGTTCTATAGAATATTAACCAGTTAACTGTGGAATTTAGTAGAAAACCTATCGTTTTGCGCGCAATGAAATAAAAAAATGGAGCGTGTACTCGTCGAACGCAGGATGAATGCACGTAGAGTATATTTTAATGAAAAATCGAAGCGAAACAAAGAATAATTACATGTTTATGTGAAAAAATAAAGAATTCATCGCTGAAAGAATTAGTATCATGTCAAGCTTTACGATGACGTGCATACTCGTCAGACACAGTTAACTGGTTAAACTAACCAATACTTCTTAAGATTTCACGTACACGTTCACGCACATCAATTAGGAAACACAATCTTGTCCACTTAATGCTCGTTTTCTCCGCGCATTTAATGTTTGCGGTTTGTCCCCACCATACTCAGAACTGATACATGAGAAGGAAAGGCCGAGTCATTTGGTCATTCCGATCTCTGATATGTCCATTACCACTGTGTTGTCGAAATAAGGAAAAGTAAGCTGCTTATTACTTTATAATCTCATGAGATTATTTTAATCAAATTTTTTATATTTAATTAATGAGTAAAATCAAACATGATTTCATTTGTTTGAGTTACGAAGTACGATGGTAAACATGATGCAAACGGGAAGCGTCAAAAGGAACATTTCAATAGTGCTGTATGTTACAATGACATAAATGATATTAAATTATTTATACAATGTAATTCATAATAAAAAATAGTTTTTTTATTAAAATAATTCCAGATTCAAGGCACAATAGGAAAAAATAATTTAATATTTATAAAGATTGAAATTTCGTTATTATTCAGTTTTCGTTAAGCTATGGGAAACAAATATGTTTTTATAAAACTTGTATTAGATTTTTCTCGAATATTTTTTTTCTCCTGTACTGATAAACTCTATTTACGCGATTTTTATTCACATAAAACGAATCCAGATACTTTCGCTCAGATGCTTCTTAAAAAAATTGTGAAAGCCTGTTGCCATAAACTTCGCAGAAAGAAGAAAAACTTTAGAATCGAAACATTAAGATATTTTCAAGTAAAACGAAGATGAATTATAAAGTATAATTTCACAACATATGATTTCATTGTTTTATCTGTAATTACATCAGTAAAATATATGATTTATGTAAGTAACCAATGTTCCGCTATACGTGGGAAAATATACACACAATCACCACAGTTTCGCAAAGAATGATTTATACTTTTCCCAATTTCGTCACATCTCTTAATTGCTTGTAGCTGTGTCGGAACAATTAACGGAAACGTCACAACTTTCATTTTCACAACTACTTATTTTCAAGGGTACCCTTCTAATCTCTTTAATGAGAACTGAAACAATGAATTTAGTGAAATGAAACGTGCATTACGCAATGTTTTCTCATAATCATTAAACATTCGTCTGAAACTGGTTAATTCAATCAAAAATTTAATTTTCTCTGTTAGCTTGTAAAACTTCAACAAATTCTTTACGGGATATACGAATTATATAAACTATAAGATCATATTATATAATGTCAAACTGTTAATATTATAGTATACGAATATCTCATACGTTTTATCCAATAAATTTCCTTGACCATATTTATTTTAATAATTAAAGTGTCGAACTGTCATTGATTTGTGATATCGTGCCCAAGTTTCATTATGATAAGAGATAATAGATAGATAAAACGCGATAAAAATGTCATTTATATCAACTTACGCTAATAGTAAATTTATTGTCGCCTATTCGATTCGTGATGTTGCAATTGTAGTGCGCGTGGTTTTTAAATGTGGCTTTAATGAAGTTAAAAATATTTTTGTCTTTTTCGAGTAATTACAATTTCTGTGAATTACGTTACGCAATTGTAAATTTGCATAGATGTTTATGTTTTCAAATGTAAAATATGTAACACTTTTGTCATTACCTCTAGTAATAAATGGAACTGGCACAGTTTAAATGGAAAGTATTCACGGTACACATACTCTTTTTAAAGAAATGAGAATACAATGCGATGTTAATGCAACGTTACATTCGTGTGATCGCTTTCCATTAATCAGCTATTCTCTTGAACTTGTATGCATAAATTGTCAAGTGAATGTCACGTGTCGTCGGCTAGCGCAATTTTCCACATTCATAAAAAGAAGCATAATCTGGCCGTATAATAATATCTTTATTCACGTTTCGCATGTCAATGCTCTAATCTTCGACTGTGTGAAAGATTATTTTTATCATTAGTTTTAAGTTCAATATCGTCACTCCTATACGAATTTTCTAAAATTTTGTTCCATATTTGAATACCAATTATACGAGTAGTCAGTACGATTTATAGATAATTAAACGATGTTTTGATGGAGAACAAAATTTATTAATTAACGTTCATGTATGTTCTTATCTATTATTAATTATCAAAATATTAAATTATAATAATTCAATCATCGAAAACTTTGACTTACTCACTAGAGCTTTAAATTAAGTTGCAGTGATTACATTTTTTCTTAGTATCACAAACATTGCAATATTAGAAAGGATATAGTATTCTATTTCAAATAAATTAATATATTTCTTATTACTAAATGTTGCAAAACGAATTAGAAGTATATAAATAAAATATATCTTTATTTCTATACTAAATTTTCTAATTTTAATTCAACTTTGTTCCTCATTGATTTGAAAAATTTAGAAATTGTCAAAAATAATGAAAACGATTTGGTTACAAGATAAGAGAGTTTTGGAAGAGAAAGTTTCAAGTGGAATAAAATAACAGTAATAATAATAATGAAAATGTTTTTAATAAAAATATATATGAAAAAATCTTAGTTTATTATATTTCATTCACATAGCTTATTAGCGAATTTAATATTGCATTAATTTATTACTGAATTGAAGCAGATTATTTTGAATGAGTTATAACGAACCAGATTATAACAATTATTATAATAAGCCGGCACTTAAAAGCTTACCTCCTTACTACAAAGTTTGTTCACCACTCGTCACGGAAGAGCTCGTATTCGCTCAGGGAATGAATACTGTCTTGTTCTGCTGATCATGTTACGTCGGAATTTATACCTGTGCCCATATAGTGACTTATGAAGTTGATAACATTGTGGCATTATTTCTAGTTTCTTAGAACAGTTCGCCCGAACTAAATCACTTTAAGTGTTTGTATATATTTTCTCTTGATGCAGGAATTATGCAACTGGTCGATCTTCTCATTCACATCCAGTCAGTAATGAATTGTTACGCAGTACACGTGGTCATTTATCGATTTTGTAAGTTGTGTAGAATGTTTCTTTGGTGTTCAGGGTACTTTATTCTTCCGCTGTCTTCAGGCGTTCAGTAAGTAATGCATATGCACATGCTGCGTGATAAGATATGTCGCCTCTTTACTAATATTCGGTAGTTTCTTTGGTAAGAACGTATTTATCAGTCAGTAACATTTTGCACGGTGAAGCTAATCGTTCAAAATGTACTAAAATAAATCGTAAAAGAATTTGAAGCAGGTGTTACGGACAGAACGTTAACAAATACATATCAATGTTCAGTAGGAATGATCATCGATATTAAAGTTAATAACTCAAAATACGATACAGGAGAGGATGGTATAATTTTATATACCGTGGAAAGTATGTCAATGCTATATAAGTAAAACATAGATTAAGCAATGAATAAAATTGATATCAGTACTGCAGCAGTATGTAGAATATTGCAAATTGGTCTGAAGAGAAAAGCCGAAGTAAAAATCGTTCTTAAAAGTTTATCTATCAGGCAGTTATTAATAGGTTTTTCTATGATGATGATGATGATAGTAATGATAATCACATGGTAAAAAACACATTGATAACTTTTATTAAACAATAGTACTCAAATAATAATTAGATTGCGTTAATACGATTTATTAATTCAGATTCAGAGATAACTGTCATTGCTCATGAAAGTTTCATTAAGAAATCGTAAAGTATTGACTAATCATTTTCAGTATACCGTTTAATAACTACTAGATAATGTCTTAACAAAACAGCACATGATGTCGGTTTCAAAGTTTGTCAACGTCTATACGGAGTTTTCTGCGAAAGATGAAAGAGAGTAATCTGATCATGTGAAAAGAAAATAAATAGTTTTGGTTCCGATGAAAATGAATGGACCTGGGAAAGATAAAATAGAAAATTTGACCAATAACTTCTACGATACACATAAAAGTTCGACGTGTATATGTCACAGTGATGACGTTAGGAGTTGCTCTTACTCATCCTATAATTGGAGAATGACGGCAAAAAATTACGTTATCGTTTTCAACGTTTCCTTCATGGGAAATATATAGAAATTCGGATTCAACGAAACGTTATCTTTCAACATTGAACATATAGCAGATATTACTAAATTATGGCTCCAAAATAAAAGATTTAGTGTCTTAGAGCAGTCATTAAACCTGAATCCGTTGGAAAATCTTTAGAACCAATTACAAAAGTCTGCGTATTTAAAAAAAATATTCAAATTTATATTTATTGTGATACTAGAAAAATGAGTTGAAATTAATTTGAAACAATGAAAAGAGTGATATTATAATATTAAAAATATTTAGTTTAACTCACACTATTGATCAAGTCTAATAATTATTGTTTTATTATATATATAGTTGTACAAAATATTTTTTTTTCGTATATACTGAGCCTGTCTATTAAAACAATAACTCCCACTGTGTATTAGGAATGTTTTAAAGAACTTCTGATCATCGATTTCATTTGAATTTCATAAAAAGCGTAGTAAAGGAAATTACTTGATCAGTTTCACATATCGCAATGCAGGAAAGTCTTTATAAAATTGATTCATAACAGCGTAATTCCCGCGGAACGTAATTATTTTCTCAGAAATAAATCTCAATGTAACCAATCACTGAAACAATAACTATTTGAAATCAACCATTCATAGTTATCGTAGTAATATTACTTCCGCAATAATATTCACAAATCCAACACTCTCAAATTGTACACAATTATTGTTTTAAAAAATTCAGATATCACGTGTATATAAAATTATAGAATAAATTATTTAACACTGTTCTAAGGATTGTTTATTTAGCGCTCTTCTTTAGAATAATTCATGCAGCACTGCGTAATATTGCGTTCCAAACCACCATTTCATTTTCGGTAAATAATGCTCACTCGAATTTACAAATAAAGTAAGATAGAATAATTCGTTCACGCTCTTTTTACACGATATTTTCTAATCTTTGGTTGGTATACTACTATTAGAATAATTTATGTAGCATGTTTTTAGAATAACTTGTTTTGCACTTTAATCGCGGTATGCACACAAAAACGTTAATGAATGCAACAGGATATTAGATAAGAGAATTATTAAAGGAACACTATTGCGACCAGTTTTTAATACTCCCGAATATTAGACTGTTTACAATTTTTTAATATTTTGCCGTTTAAATAAGACATATTTGCGAACGTTGTTACACACAGCAGATTTCTAAATTCAAGTTTTTCGGACACTTGGCAGAGAGATATTATATGATCGCGTGAACCGAAAGATTTATCGTTCACGAACGTACTGAGTTTAACACCTACGTTAACATCTCGACTCTTAAGCCTCTCGTGCCACGAAGATACATTAACACGATAACTACCGCGACAATCATCTGTGTTTGACACAATTCTCCATCCGAACATAGAAATTAATATTCATTCTGACGCATTGGGTGAACAAAATTTGGTTTTCATCTTTGAGATGCAAGAAGGCTGAAGTCTATATGATAAATTTTCACTTTTCACTTTCAGTTGCGTTAAATAAATTACGTAGTAATGTTTAAAAATTCGATGGATATTTTTCCAGATGAACTGATCGAAAAATTCTGTAATATTATAAAATGATACAGATATAAATATTTAAGTGGGCTGCGTGAGATTAATATATTAATAATTGTGTACCTGAATTAGAATTGTTCTAAAGTGTTCGATTAATTGTAAATTACTATTTTCGAATTAAAACGAAGGGAATTGCAAAACAAGTATCAAGATGGTTCCCTCTAACGTGTAATTTAAAAATAATGATCAATTCATAACGGAAATCTGGAACATTAATGTAAGTGGAAGATAATGACATGCATGTCACGTATGAGTCATTTGAAACCAGTGACACGTTCATGAATAAGGTAAACGGTATTACCTTTTAGCTTATAGTAATCTGTAGAAGATTAAATATTTGTCAATCGGTAATCTGTTGTTAATAATTATAATATTAATTTTTACTTAACATTAGAACTACCAGTCAAAATTACTGGTTTCGATTTTTTTGTTTAGCAATAATTAAATAAATAGTTTCATTTGAGTACTATAATGAGTGTCTGAAGAAACTGAAAATAATCTACAATTTTTATAGGAATTGCATATTAATCGTATTAAATGCTCGGTAGTTCTATTATTAATATTCGGTTATACGAACGAGCACTAAACTCCTAATTATCATTCGTGAAAGATGTAAACATATAAATTACACAGAAGATTTCAAATAAAACTTCGTTCTTTCAAATGTATTGTTTATTAACAAGTAGTCAGTTCTTAAAATTTGTACAAAACATGTATTTAAACGCTACGAACTGTCCTGAACCGATTCGATCGAACTTTCATATTGCCATCGATGCTGCTGCATAAATTCATCAAAGCATTTCGCAACGAACCCTGATGTTTCTGAAGGTATCCCGAAGAATTATAAAATACAATTGTAAATCTTACAGCCACGCTATACTAGAATACTATGAAGTCTGTTCACTATGCGAACAAAAGCGATAACAATTCAAACACTTCAAAATACGTACGCGGTAAAGCCCTTTTACAAAAATACTACAGATCAATGTAAAGTATAATACAATACGAATGGAGAATGTGGAAGATCGTTCTACAATAAATATATAAATTCTTATAAAATGTAACAATATAGCTAAACACGTAAGCGTAGGATTAACAGTTTCACTTTCATTCGACTGTAAATAATTCACTGCACTGTGCTGTTAAGCTTAGTACGCACTTGCGAATTATTAATGAAACAACGAAGGAACATTTATTTTTCAACGAATGACAACAATAGTATTGCTGTTCTTAAATAGAAATATCAAACTGTAATCGTTATTAGATTCCAATATTTACCTACGACACACGTAATTCCATTTAATAAAAAAATCATTCTAATTGAATATTACAATACAATTTCGATTGATTTTGAAAAATAATTTATATTCAAGTACGTACTAAACTTTGGGATAAAATACGTATTTCTACTATATTTAGCATATTCTTTACATGGAGTATCATATTTCTATTCAATCATTAATAGTATCTTAAATATCTTTTACGGTAAAAATTCCTCATCATTAGAAAATGCTTTTATTGGCTGACATTCGTTCAGCTTCAAATAAGATATGTATGATATAGACCTAACAACATATGTATTGCAGAAGTATTGGACATATCCAATAAATTTAAATGCAAGCTTGGTAAATTTAATTGCAATACGTTAAAGTGAACTTTAAATAATTTATTAATTGAATTTAATTATTCACGGTTTACACGCGCCTATGTTTATTTTATAATTTTTCCGTTACAATATACGTTGAGTAATTTAATTCTAAAAGCAATTTTTACCGGATGTAGTAAAAAATAGAAAACTTTATGTACAGGGTGAAGTCGACCTGAGAAATTCTCGTTCTCTACTGTATCCATCTTCAAATTAAATATACTTTATTTGTTCTTAAATCTCAGTAGCCACATCATTTCCTTTAATGTTGATGGGTCTTCTATGCTACAACAGCCTACCCTGCTGGTTAAATTGTTTAAAAATATCGAGTATAGTTCAATATCGTTACTCTTATTTGAAAACAGCCTTAACCTTGAAATGAATACAGTATAATTCTTATTAATTTTACAGTAATATTTTATTACAAGGTGTTTCAGAAAAATAGGATATTCAACCGATTAAAAAAGTTCACAAAGTCTGTAGAAGGTTCAATGGATCTACAGGTCAGAATAATAAAAGTAATAATAAAGTGATAAAGCAATAGAGTGTAAAAGATTTTGATGATGTTCACATTTCTACTAATGCTATTCAGTAGCAAGAGATATTTGTACGTGTTTACGGATTTTCAAAATGTGATGGTCGAAAATACTTCAATAACAAGGGAATAGTAAAAATACTATTTTTCAATTGTCAACAATTCAATGGTTAATAAACAATATTATGAGCTTCGTTATTTTGGATTTTTATCTACCAAACAGAAAACTTTTAGTTCTTCCAAATAATTACTGCATTAAATTAACTGATTCCATAACCTTAGAATTAACAAATTTTAATAAAGAACACCTTTATATCTTACTAATATTTCCCTAAATACTGTTCAATCTGAAGCACCCTGTTTATTGGCGTAACAAAGCGTGCAAACAACAACTGCAACCTCCCTCGCTTTGTCCACATGTAAACATTGCCCACTGTTTCTCTTACATTAAACAAAACGATGCTTTCAAAATCCTATAATCGTCACACGCGTCAATATCATTATAAACAACAGAAGTTATTCCTTTCGTCGAAGTAAATCACTATTTGTTGCCTCGATTCTTCGAACTTGCGAAAATGCAGTCGTCGATTTCTTCCGATACGTTAATTTACGGAACACATTGTTTGTAATTTAATTTCGAGTGTCTTCTTTTTCTGTAGTAGCTATAGTTCTCGTCATTGTGCGTGAACACGGTCTTAACGTCGGCACTAGTCACTGTCCCCTTCGTAGAAGGTGTCCGGCGTTAAGGAGGCCTCCTGCTAGTCTTCATCCACGATTTCACAGCTGTGATACTTGCTCGAGGAGTCGAGCCAGCTTTCTACGCCGCTGGAGGCCAGATCATCGCAAGAAGGCATTTCCGGTAAGGGTTCCATATTCGGTGCTCCTTTCTTTGAAAGATTGTTTGCTGGACGATCTTTCATTGTGGTGGATCCTGAAACAGATTAGATGTCTGTAGCCTTTTGAAATATAACGAATAATTCCAATGTTACCGATCGGTCTTATCAACGACAAAGAAATTCAACGTATCAATGGGACTAACCGAACAAAATCTTTTCTACTATACTAATTTACTACAGTAATACTTAACAGTTTGATGTTCAACTAAAAAAGATTATCCCGCCAGGTATACGTTCCATTCGGTAAGTCGGTAACGAAAATATCAAAGAATGGTTGATTACTATACTCAATTATAATTAAAGACGGAAATTATATTTATATACAAAGAATAGATTTTAACTTTGTTTAAAACGTCACTGTATGTTAAAAAGACATTCAAAATGTGTTCCTAGAATTAAAAGAGATTGAAAATTATTATACAAGATGATAATAACAAAGAAATACAGTGTCGTTAAAGAAAATATGATCAATTTTAGGTCTTGCAAGAAACTCACTCTACCTATATAACAATCATTAAAGTTGATAGAAACTTAATTTTTAAAATAACTATTACAGATGCAGACCCTTCCATTCCACTAAAAATAACGAAACGATGTTCGAATTTATTATACTGTCGAATAAGAGCGAATAAATTGTACTAATTATAATGTGATATACGCACTACCATTTTCAGCGGATAACGAGGCCTCTTTCCTACGAATCAAAGCCTGTCTGGATGCTCTTGGACTTCTGTATTCGCCACTCATGCTCAATCCTGCGCTAATAGTAGGAAGTCTGATATCCAAGTGTGAACCCTTATCTGTAACAATCTAATCACACATTAAAATAAAGATGCAGCAATGAGAATTTGATTCCTCAGTAAACGAAATTCAAAAGATTAAGAGGGTATTCTAATTATACGTATAAAAATTGTACTAGAACACGAAGCCATCACTTCACACATGCACGTAAGAAAAGCAGTTAAACGAAATACGTATTCCATGAACTTCATGTATACGTCTTGTTCACTTCATTATCAAGTACCTCAGACTGGCAACGCTAATAAGTGTTTCTAACAGGAGAACAAACTGAAACGAGGAAACTCGTTCGATAAATCATGTGAAATCAACAAGGTCAAGAAACACTTAGACAATACAGGGTAGTGCTTATAAGCATAGATCAAGGATAGTCGTCATTATATTAAAAAAAATTAACAATTAACACGTTGAACGTGATTTCGTAGAACAAAATACAGAAAATGGAAGAAATATAATATTAAATCATTTGACTGAATTGGATTATTATTGCACATTCATCAGACTGAATGTCACCACAATGGGTAGCATCACTTATAATACATAAATAACAAAATAAAAACAACTTTCCAAACATTTCTTTAAAGAATTATTTAGATGTTGTGTTACAAAGACACAAGTAAAACGAGAATCCGTTTTGAGAATTGTCAGTTTAGTAACGAAAGGGTTAACAAGAATAAAATTTGTAATTGTTACCTTGTTATTCATAGCGTATAATTTAGTGGCTATGTCCCTAGCAACCAGTGTCGTTAAAACAGTTGCGAGATATGCTTCCTTAACGAGTAGATATTCTAACGCGGATCTTTGCCAATATAAATACCTGCATGAGCTTGCAGCAACAATTGATACCTGAAACACATATACTTTATAATCAATACACATTTTTGCACAAATTTTAATAATATGTTTTATATGTGGGATTAAACAAATATATGTTATATTAATACATTGTGTACCGGCTAATTTTAAATATCTTACAGTTAATTAATATATATTAAACAGATAATCCGTTCTAAAGTTTAATTCTTTTAAGTACTGTAATAATTGTCACAGTTCTATTAGATAGATATTTCTTATTTCTGGCAATGTGTTAATTAAAATCGTAAAATATTGGTAATTATGGTACTTACTTTAAATTTATCGTCGACAGACGCTCTAGAGCTTTCAAATTCTGGGGAATCTAGGAACTCGCAAGGCAGTATGGGGTGTAGAAAATTCGAGTCACTGAGTACATTTACTTTGCCACTTAACAACAATCCCAATCTGTCGGTTCGAGTTAAGTTTTGCATGGCATACGCCTCGCCAGCGTGAAGTGACATTATTGATGCGAATTCTGGAGATACAAGTCTCTTAAACTGCAGTCGGGAGACCTACGTTACAACAGAAAAATGGATCAAAATTAATTCTTCGAAGGAGGAAATAAAATTATTATTTTTATAATCGTGATACAATTTCTTTGCATGTGACAGTAATAAATAATCAAATTAATTTGTCATTTTCTTAAAATAAATTTACCCTTTATTACTAAAAATATGGTACAGCTTTTAATCTTTGACATATTGACCATTGATTCTGGTCCATCTTTAAGACAAATATGGGAAACTGCAAAATGACAATGAAATATTCAAATTTAAAATAGATTTGCAATCAATTGGATGGAAAATTCATTTTTAAATTAACATACGAAAAATTCGGATAATTTTCGTAATACACTTTTATGTTTGATAGTTCATTTAGAAAATAATTCTAATAATAATTTCTATTAGATCGGAATTGGTTAATATGTCTCGGTTAAGTCTGACATGTCTGGCCATGTCCGACCATTTCTACTTTGAATTCTCGATAACGTATAATTTTTGAGAAACTTTAATAAGTGATTGAAGGAATTTAATTGACCACCTTTTGACCATTCTTAAGAAAGGGGTTACGGTAGAAAATATCAGCCTGCTATAATGATAACAATGTACATTTATATTGTCGTTTTTAAAAAAACTAAAATGGATATCTCAAATAAAAACAAACAATAAGTAAATTGAAATAAATAAGTTAGGTTATGTATATATTTCCTAAAATAATCTCTTACGTAAAGATTTATTTCCTAAAAAATTGATTTCGAACTCTTTCCTTTTAGGCGTAGCTTCTGGTAAATAAAAATGAAAAGTATTTGATTGATCCATTAACTACAGCTTATTTAATATTTACTCAATACGCAATATTGTTCTTCTCTAAGCGTGAATTAAATTTTAAAATAGAAGACATCTTTTTCATTATATTCAAACACCATAAATTGTTTAACAAAAGACTGAAGATTACTCACCTTAAAGGGGTAGAAAAGTGTATGATATGCTTCCTCCAATTCCGGATCGAATCGAACGGGCCTCATTTGATAAACGATGTAAACCAGTTGTCCAATGTTCAACACTAAGAAACTGAAGTTCCAGGAGAATATATCCGGCGCGCATATGACATGCCATGCCCAACCAGAAAGCAACATGAACCCTTGGAAGAAAACAATCCGTTACTGTTACAGCCAGAAAATTGAGAATTATTGTTCTTTGTTTTATTCAATCATATAGTATCGTTAGCTCATTATATGCTAAAGATTGCGATTACGGTCTCGAGTGGATGAAACACAGAAAGAGAAAATTGCAATCACAGTTACGTGACTTGACACTGATGTGATAGTTACTTTCACCCGTTATATGTATTAAGACATCGAACAGGACGCTTAAATACGAAATGATACTAGACAAAACTTTGGAATAATTACACGAAAAGATCCTTAAAACAAGGAACGATAAAATCAAAGAAACATAAAATTTTAATAAAGCTTATACTGCTACAAGAAATAATAATTCCAGGAAAAATAAAATGAGTAATAGAATAGGATTCTATATTCTAATAAAACATACCATAAGGCGAAAATTGCTAGTAAATATTAGCAAGAAAATGCATAACAAAATTCATAAGGAATCATTTAAAGAACTACGTAATATGGAAAACTGAAAAACTATAGTAGAAGAAAAATGGCAAGAATTAACTGTTAAAAGCAAAAATGAAGCGTCTTCGTTATTCGAATTAATTTTTTCTTATCATGTGCACTCAACGTATAGATTTTTATTTTTACTACAAATAAATCACTAATTAATCGAAATTCCATCACTCTACTTATTGAAATATTCTCTTGTAAATCAATGTTAATTTTGTTGCGTAGAAACATTTACTTCGACAAAATTATTCGTAAAAACTTCAACAATTCGTGCATTCTTATTGAAAACGTTAAGAGAGATAGCAAGTCGTAGCAGCTCACCAATTATCAGGACGGAGTGCATAAACAGTATTCCCTTTCTTGAGGACGGAGCTGAGTAGGACAGCGCGAAGCAAAAGTTTGCCAACTGGAACAGTATGTGTTGAGGTTGCTGCCACAGGCACAAGGCCGTATTACCTGTAACGAGGGAATTCATCGAAATTAGCCATGCACGGAACACAGGAGTCGCGGAAAAGAGAACTGTGAGCTGAAATTTACCTAATGCCGTGATATTGTACGAAGGAAGGGGGTCATGTCCAAGACCAGGGCTCATGTTGCCTGTTGGTGACCGGAGTTAAAGGGAGGAAAAGAACGATGCTTCGAGCATTACTTAGTGTCCATTCTTACTGGTTTGTTTTGGTCAAATTTGCCAGTTTTCGTCCGTCTTTAATAGGGGTGCGGTGTACGTTTCACTTCGGGGCGCTTGCGCCGTCTTTCAGGATCGATCGTTCCTCGGGTCGGTCATACAGAGCTTCGCGATGCATGATGATTTTAGGCAGCATCTACGCAAGGCAAAAGAGAATTCTATCGGTAACAATTATACAGTAAATGCAGCTGACGCGTTGTTATCGAGGACTTATTATTATCGTCCTAAGATATTCAAGTAATGCGTAAGGTAACTTAAGGCTAAGGTAATGCATGATTTGCTAAAATATTATTCAATCACTTAAAATAATATTTGAATATTAATCTGGATTGTTATATTTAACTTTCAGTGTATCGACACTGAGTCTTCTAAACTACCCAGCGTTGTCGAGAATAAGTAATGCATGAGGACAATAATTCCTCTCTTCAAATAGCTAACTACTCTGAAAGTACATTGGAGACATCAATATGAATTTATGCATTACTTATATCAAGACACTTAACGACCCATGCTATCTGACAGGAATAATCGAGATAGTAGTCTGTAATAGTTTTAAACATAGCCGAAATACTGACAATATAAACAAAATATACCATGTGATTTATAAACAACAAAAATGTACATAACTATATTCCAGACATTTTTTAATACTTAACTATATACACTTAAAGACATAACTATATACATATAAAAGACTTACTTATTTAAAGCATTATTACTCATTTTGAGAAAAATGTTAAACTGTTCACTTTCCTCGTCAACATCCTCTAGAAACAAAGACTTAAACTTATCAATACAATGACAATAAAATTATCTATACTGAAATTATTATTATATAACCTATAATAAAGTTATCTAAAATAAAATCTATAATAAAATATATAATAAAGTTATCTAAAATAAAATCTATAATAAAATATATAACAAAATTATCTAAAATAAAATCTAAAATAAAATCTATAATAAAGTCAATAAGTAAACTGCTTGCTGCAGCAAGCTTGTCATAATAAAATTTATTTACTATACTACATCCTAATACATCTACTACGCTTATTACTATGTCGATTTACCTTACTCTCAATAAGGGTCGGGAGTTTTCGGGGAAGTCTCTGGAACGCAACGTTAGCATCGACTCTAAAGCGAGGCATAATTTCTGGTACCTGAGGAGGATGCAGGACTTCCTCCGTTCTTGCTGTCCTAGAGCCGGAAGTAGCTTCTGAAAAGCGTTCCTTTATTCTCTTCCTCAAGCATTGCTTATAATGTCTCGCAGTTCGTCTTATGGTTCGATCAGAACCACAGACATCCAACCACTTTCGTGACACTTGAGCAGCACAGAGCAGAGACTTGGGATCCAACTTCCGCAGAATTAACTGTGATACCTCTGGTGGCAGTTCAGAAATGAAGTCCACTTTCACTGGTTGCAGCAGTCCCATCGCGCGGAGGAAAGATCTGAAGTACTCCATGTTGTTCGTGCAGAAAGAAACAGTCGAATGAGGCACTGTTGAAAAATTTGAAGTATATATACGCCTGTTCACGCTTGAATGATCGTTCATCGTTCCGGATCAGTGATTCGGCCAATCACGTTCGAGCATGGAAATACTGCCATACAAGTAATTTATTATAATCAATTTTATAATATTATACTGACGTACGGGGAAAATATATGAATGTAAATCTTTTTACGTGAATAGATATTCGAAGTAGTAGATCGAACTATTATCAACACTTTATATTAAATGAAAGTGAGCAGTTGAGTTATGTAGATAATTATAATTAGGGAAACTGGATGTAAACATCTGATGTAGTTACACAGTTGTCTTGCCTTTAAATACTCTATTTAAGTGCATCTATTCCATTAATCTTTAGCACTCCAGATGGCTTTGTAATCTATCAGCAACTGCAACTAATTTTTATAGTATCCCTAGCGAAAATGAAAAATGCTATATAACATTTCTTTGGTCTTTTATTTTTCTTCTTAGTGCAAGATTTGGATGTGTGAAAAATCTAATAATTGTAAGGTAGTTTCTTTAAGTTTCTTTAAAATATCTAATATTATTCTTGGTGCAATATTGGAGCCTACAGAGTTCAAAGGGTTAACACATTGCGTACCAAATTTTCAGAAAACTGAATTGTGCGGATGGCAATTTTCATTGAGGTCAACTTATGTCACTATACGTAGAAAAACTCAGATATCATATTGTTATGTAATATATTTTAAATATATAACCAATTCATCTTAAATTTTATATTTTTTCAATGCTGTGGTAATTAGCGAAGTTGCATAGCTAAGTTTTATATAAAAATGAGATTTCTCGTTACCATGTGTTAATACATTGTGTAACGGATAATTTTAAATATCTTATAGTTACTTAATATATTTTAAACAGATAATCAGTAAAAAAGTTTGATTCTTTTAAGTGCTGTAATAATTATCACAGTTCTATTAGATAGATACTTATATACAAACGAGATTTGTTATTGCTGGTAATGTGTTAACTTTTGTCGGGGAACGTATGCATAACTCGCGACGATGTAAATTTAATGTAAGTTGCCAGCAGCCGTAGTGACGGCCCGGCCATGCTGCTTCGTCTCACGGACGCGCTCACGTATATCCGCCATCAGCCCGTGTTCCAGTCGTCCGTGAAACTATGGTGTCCATAGAGAAGTTCTGCGGACCGGATTGTCACGGTGCGATCACAGCGGTCGGGTGGTTCGATCGATCCGTCGAGTTACGAATGTTCTGGAAGTGTGGCAACGATTCGAGGTTCTTTCCCGCCTCGCTCAACGAAACCGACCATGTCGCGGCCATCTTCGGCGGACATAACGAATCGTAGTTAGGCGTAATTTAGCGCGACTTCCGTTTCGCAGATTGTACAATAAAAAGAGAAACAAAACGAACGGTGTAGCAATCTTGTTGTCCGTTGAATACTTCACCCTTCCGACTGTCCAGCGGAACTTTCCCTGTTTGAGGTGATTCTATAATCTAAGCCTGACGTAATAAGATGATGTTAATTTGTTGAAAGCTTGTGAGCTGTTGTTAAATTAGAATTTAATATACAGCCATTCATTTCTTTTAACTACGAGACTTGAAAGTTTACAGAATTTGAGTCACTTACGATTTTGATCAACTCGAACATGATGTGAAAGGAATGTCAATAATAGTTTGTTTAATCAATATTCCATCAAATTAGGAATGAGAATCTGTACCTAATGAATAAACACCACGAAAAACGTAAATTTCAACCCTCTGCATACATCGTGTATGGTGCTGTATATTTTATACAATGGTGTATGGTTATTGAACACACGGGTGTAACAACTCCCTCAAGTATGGAATATGATTAAAGTATTATCATAGTGGTTACTATGTCAATTATAATTTAGTCAAAAGGAACTGTTTAACACATTGCACGCCGGGCCCGCGACAATACGAGATTTTCAGTCTATCGTTTAGTTGCTAGTCCCACATTAATGCAACATTCTAGATATGTAGAACACAAATCCAAAGTAAAATTACAAAATAGAATTCCTTATTCTATTTCGTAAGTTACAAATTTCAGTTTGATTGATGTCTAAAAATATATCAATATAATCAGCGACACTCGCGTTTCTAGTAGTTGAAATTTAGCCGGCATACGATGTGTTAACATCGTATCTGGTTTTTATGATGGATTTTATTAAAATGAAGAATTGCTGTTGACAACGCGTATTCAATTTATGAAATTGACAATCGATTACATTCTGGTAGACTACCACAGGAAAGCAACTGGTGGCGCCATCCTACGGCGATGTGTATTACTGTATGAAGTAATCAAGCGAATCTTCACAAACCCAACTGATTCTTGCCGTTACAGCCGTAAATCGTCGTGCAGTGAACGGCAAGAAAAATCTGTGGAGATTTCAATGCTCGGTGAGAGAAGTGTTCCAGCCTATTTCCAAACGTCGCCCAACTGATTAACGCTAATTCGCTGGTATGTTATCGTCATAGGAACGGCTAAAAATATATATTTCTGCAGAAGTAGAATATTAATTAATGGGTATAACATTGTTAACACGTTGAATGCTATTGGGGTCACCGGTGATCCTCAAGCAAATCGAATTACTATAATTCACTCAATTATGATTATTCGCAAACGTTTCTATATTATAAATAATGCTTCCATTGCGGTGACATTCAATTTGATGAACGTGCAATGATAATCCAATTCAGTCAAATGATTTAATATTGTATTTTTTCCATTTTTTGTATTTTGCTCTATAAAATCGTGCGACGTTCAACGTGTTAATTGTTAATTTTATTTAAATATGAAAAGCGTTGGGTGTTAGAATTACTTCATCATTCATCTTCCACCATTTTTTCATCTTCTATTAGGAAACCTGATTATGTCATGTCAATAACAGACGGGTAATAGCAGGGAATTAATTGTGGACAAGTCGAGGCGAGCTTTCCAACCGATTCCTGTTTATTTCAAGGAATTGTCGTTGCGTTACGCGGTCACAACTCCGATTATTGCATAAGGCCGAGTCGACGGAACGAAACCCTCGCCGATTTGGAAATTACCAATTTTCTACTGTCTATGGCCATTCATGAGCGTAAACATCCTATTAAATTTTTGCGTAGGCTTTCGACACGCATCGTAATGCGTATAAAACGTATGCATGCAGGTGAATCCCGTTCAGTAAACGCCGAGAAAGATAGCCTGTGCACTCTGAGCCTTGATTATGAAATTTTACGTAAGTACCTTCATAATTTTTACACAACTTGCAATTCCTTTATTAAAAAACGTACCGCACCAGTAATTTAAATAAAATTTCTAGGCATTTGATCCACAGTTTAATTTTTTATTAAACTTACTCCTACAATTGTATTTTTAAGAATTCTCCTTCTTGAATGACTGATTAGACATAACTTTAAATAGTGATTCACGAAGTTTGAATATTCATGCTTTAAATTACTCTGGCTTAAATTAGTTTGGCATGTATATATTAATATATTAATGAGTTTTACATATTTACACATATGTGTGCATCAGTGAATAACACCAGCAAAAGGGAAGCTTTCAAATTAAGTCGTCGACTATAGATAATTAGAATTTTTTCTCTTTTCTATTGAATTCAGAAACAAACCATCTTCGCTTATAATTTTCGTGTATAAAAATGGTATTGATCTATTTGACACTAACCAGAAAGATAAATTAAAATGCATTCTCTTAATAAGTCCTATTCGTTTCATATTCCAGGTCTGTCTTATACTCGCCGTCGCCTGCAGTGCGGCGAGAGTACCAAGAATATCCGAACCACCATACTTCCAAAATTATCAAGGTGTTTTCCCGGGCAGCAATGCCGGTGGCTTCCACGATGTTCAAGGCAGTGGAGCCGCTGCTCCATTTCTGGGAGATTTCAGGAGTCACGAAGGGAATTTAGGTTCGGGGCATAATTCGGGAAATGGATTCTTCCCCAATCAGGGCTTTATCGGCAGCAGACCAGACTTAGCGAATCATTTAGCACCAGGTACCTTTCGTTAAAAATATAAATTAGCTCACTGAAGTTACTATTAGAGTTTTCGATTTCCAGTTCCTTTCGGAGACGTCGGTGGGAACCAGGGGAATTTCAAGGCTCCTCATTATGGACGTTTCAATCGTGATTATGATTATTAAACATAGAAATTCTATCAACATCAGCATTACTATATAGACAAGGAAACGGTTCAGTCGTCTTAATTGTAATTAAAACCTCTTTTCAATGTTGCTGAGCCACTATATTAATTTTACGATTATAAAAAATAAATCACTGACGTAAGTATTAAAGTAACAACAAAAAGAGTCGAGCTAGCGATCTTTTTATTTCTCCTTACCCTTTTATATCCAATATATATATATATATAATATAGGTTAATATAATCATTTGTGTAAATAACATTATTAGAATGAAAACAACGACATGATAAACATTATACTAGGCTGTCCTCTCGGTTCTCCTCTCTTTCTCGTGTACAACGCCGTTTAGCCAATTTTGGACCATTCGCGCGAGAGTACCCATTCGAGGTGGGAGGAAAAAAGGATTCTCGAAACGAGTACCTGCTCGATCGTGACTGTGAATCGCGGGGGCTCCTAATACTTTGATCACGGCGCCACACATCGATCCCTTTTTCTACGCGTTCTTTCCGACCGTTGAAAGCAATTATATTTTATTTATTATTTCATTATCTTTTTTTTTGTGTTTTTTGTTCGGAGTTACAATATTACAACGAAGGAATCGTCACGGCGACGAAAATGTAATTCCTCTCTGCGTTAGGCAATGAAACACAACACACACGCACGCACAATCGTTCCACGGATCACTCACATCGTACAATAGACTTCGATAATAGCGTTAACAATCGAAAAATATTGAAATCGGCGCATCACGCGGCACGCTAACTCCGCGTGACACGGTTCCTCGTGTACACGGCGTGTTCGGTTCAAACTTATACCGACAATTATTCCTCGATCCGCCTAGTGTACGACGGTATCGAGTCTGTCTATCAATCGTGCGTGGAATAATTGTGAGTATACAGGTTTCGTTCGAAAACGTGGACATTAAATCATAGATTTAACATCGAACGCCAATCTACGTGAAACAGGACAGTGGATTCCGTAAAAATGATTATTAACTATTATATGACGTTTTCTTGGAGAATCTGGTAAATGAAACTTACGGACGTTCTTTGCTGGCAGACTAGACTGTGAATCTCCATATTGATTTCTGCTTGGTGTTGCGTTCTCTATTAAATCCCAGAATAATGTCCTTGTTTTCTATTAACACCGTGTATGTTCCAACCGAGCACACCGCACGTATAATATATATACATATATATATAAATAATATAAATATATATATATATATATATATATATATATATACACATATAAATATACCTATCATTAATATAAGAACTTGACTAGATCACTTTAGTTTTATTTTATTGACTCCCTTATTTAGTCTAGGTACTTGCTCGTGCGACGACGGAGAGTATGGAGAGTTACAAGATGCTTCTTCTTATAAAAAAATATCCAGGAGAATGAACTAGAATTACGATTAACGCGGAGGTTCTCCGTTCGCTTCCGGTTCTCGGGACGTAGACGCGTTCACGCGTGGGAGTCGCGCGGCTACGTCGACGGGTCCGAGAACGTCGGCCAACGAGGCTTGATCCCAATTCCAATTGTAATTAACGTTTGTATGCGGATACTCGGAACGCAGCACCTCGACTTCACTGCAACCGGTCAGTCACAGAGGGACGAATACGACACAACGCGGCGGCCATCACACGTAGAACTCGGTCTTGGGGCCTAGCTCGTACTCCATCTCCTCGTTTTTGTACACGTCCATAATCTGCGAGGAGAATTGTAATTAACTGCGTGTGGTTGCTGTGACAATATTCATTTTCATTATCAACTGTTACACTATAATATTAACACATTGCGTACTGGTAACGGGAAATCTCTTATATAAAGGCACTTAGCTATGCAACTTCGCTAATTACAGCATTGAACAAAATATAAAATTTCAGTCGAATTGATTATCTATTTAAAATATATCACATAACAATATGATTTCTGAGTTTTTCTACGTATATTGATATGAGTTGACTTCAGTGAAAATTGACATCCGTACAATTCAGTCTTCTGAAAATTCGGTACGCAATGTATTAATTTATTATCATTGGGATATATAATATATGGCAATATTATTATGATCTAATTATATAATAGTTTGGAAATAACATATTACGGTAGATGTAATATTATTTTGATTCCCTTCTATCAGGGTAAAATTTTCAAATAATATTCGAACACGTCTACGTCAGATTTCCTTTCTTAAGTGGAGAAAACAGGAAACCAGATTTATCATTCTCACCGCGTTCATATCCCTTTGCAGTTCCTCTAGTTGTTTCTCATGAATCACTTTCAGTTTCTCTTTCTCTCTATTCTGGATGCTCTGCGCGATCCTCCGCTCCTCCATGAACTTCTTCGTGTTGTTCTGCTGCTTCTCCCTTAGCCTACCTTCTTTAATCCCCCGGGTCTTCAACGTTTTGTCGTTCATCACCTCCCTCATGCTTTCCACCGACAGCCTCGCCTGTCTAGCGTTCAGCTCCTTGATCTCTCGCTCGTGTCGCGCCGCCAGCTGTTTCTGCTGCGACAGCTGAGCAGCCACGCACAGTTTGCATAAGGTGTTCCGTCGTTCCTCCAGGTGCGCACGAATCAAATCGCGCTCCTCGCGACGCTGCCTGTCGGCCAGTCGAGACCATTGGACCGTTTGATCGGAAACTGCTCTGCGAACAGTTGGATCCCTCGATAGGTGTGCTTTGCTGTAAAGAATATGCGATTAAGATTGCATTACCATACATACGTACCATACATTATAGAGTTAGACTTGCGAGGAAGTTTTCGAATGGAAGTTATACAAATTAAATGCTACTCAATTATTTTGGGTTGAAATTAACACTAGAACTACCGTACCAGTCAAAATGACTGGTTTTGATTTTGTTTCGCAATTATTAGTACCTCGAAAGCATTCAATAATTGAAATGATCTTGAAAATAGTTTCATTTGAATACTACAATGAATGTCTAAAAAAACTGACAATAATCTGCTGTTACAATTTTTGTACGGATTACTCGGTAGTTCTAGTGTTACTGTTTCTATAATATTAATTCTTGTATTCTGAAATAAATTGGGAAGGATAAACTACGAGGTGAAGTGAGCGAAAGAGTGCTCATACTTTTTTCCTTTAATAATCTTCTCTATGGCAACACAGTGCTGCTTCTGGACGGTTAGTTTGTCTTTCTGGTGCCTTTTCTTCAGAGACTCGAGCTCCTTTTGTTGTTTCGTGAGCACCTTCTGGTAGCCCTTCTCTTGTCTTAATACTTCTGCCGTTATGGGATCGAATTTCATCTCCTCTGTAAAAAGAAATTCTCTCTTTACCTCTGCAATTCGTGTAACCTCTAATTTGTGACTCTCGGTCCTTTGATTTGTGGCTCGACATTTACCATCACCTCTCATCACTCACCTCGGGGCTTAGGTGGTTGATGATGAGCTGGTGCGGAGTCATTACCTTTGATATCGCTTTTCTCGATCCCGAGACCCTTCATCGTATTCTGCGACGTGTTGTCCGGTTTCCTGTAGGCCCGTGGCGCCGTCAGTGCATCCATGAGTCCTGCGAATCAATTTCAATTTGGTTGAAACCATTCTAAGTGGAATGTTTTATTACATAATTATGAAAAATACGACAGATATCGTGATATAATTCTTGAAACTTATTTATCGATTTTAATAAATGATTCTATTAACTCTTTTCGGACGAATGTCGAAACTTCAGCGACATGAAATTTACATATTTCCAGCACTGAGTCGCAAACAAATGATCGAATTACTAAAACAGTAAGAGATCAACAAGTAGTTTCTGTTTTTCCTATTATTTAAGCAACTGATGTTGCTTATTGCTTGATCATTTAGCTTCATCTGCTGAAGGTTTTATATATTTCAAAGAATCTTCGTCTGCAAAGGGTTAAAATGATTCCACTTCTAGCGTACTACTAAAAATTCTGAAAATTTCCTACCTTCGTAGCCATCAGGCACGTAGATCTTGATCTCGATGTTACAGAACAGCATAGGCAGGGACATAGGGAAATTCGCCTCTGTTCTCAGAGATATGTGCCGGTATCCTGACTGTAGACCGTCTAGAGGAACGATTCTCTGGCCTAGAAGCTTGTTGTTGGATTCATCGTAAACCGCGAAACGCAAGGCCGCCAAATCCGGCAGGACGACTTTTCGAAATAGGAAGGGTTCTTCATTGTAAACAGGATTCAGGCCGTTCGCTGGTACCACCCTCGTCCGGAACTCCTTTCGAATTGTGTCTGTGGGTAGACCGTACATCTCTACTTCCACGTACGTTCCGACTTTCTTGTCTGATAAGAATTGGCCTGCTATTACCTAATCGTTAAACAAACGGAATGACGTTATTCAAATTTATTAGATTTATTATTTGATAACGAGGCTAATAGAATATTCAAAAATTGACAGGAGTCTCATTCTTTTTGCAAATTATTCTAATATTCTTATCAAAATTCAAAATCTATTAAAAGCATAAAGGATTGCGCGAACTACCTGAACGCTGCACTGCGTGGCGATGACGCCATCGACAGGACTCTCCGCGAAAGGATCGAAGCTTCGATCGGCCCTTCTCATGAAGTCCGGCTTCAGAAGGTAACCCGACGATCCGTTGTACTCGAACTTGCCCTGGTTCAGTTGCATCGGCAGATCCGCGGTTTGGAAATTCAATGACACCATTTGACAGCCAGCGTTCCAGAAGACCTGTTTTCAATTATCGATCATTAAACGAAACCGCTTCTGACGTTCGCGGTGTTCCCACTGTACCGTACGCGCCTGGAATTACCTGTGGCATGTAATTCGATGAGTCCGCTCGGGTGCCCTTCGGGTAAATCCGGCTCATTTGCCGTTTATTGTAATTGACGAACTCGATAGCTTGCGTTTTCAGGTAATTCAGGCCAGCGGTTTCCGAGAAGGAAGACATATTGTGATGAATGTTCTTCTCTGCGAAAGAAACCGCTCGTTTTCAGTCTGACACGCTTCAAGATGCACTCTATGCACTTAACAATCACTGATAGATTGCAAATTCTAATACGTTTACATTGTTTCACCAAACACAAGACGGAACAATTATATTTTATTTGGAACCACCATGCATTCAAACATAATGCACAAAATATAAATAGAAAAGTATTTATAAGAATTCCAGGAAGCTACTTTACATTCAACTTCTAAAACTCTTAGCAAAGTCTAGCGATTATTCTAAAACACTTAATAAGGGCTCTTTACGTTCAGCAACGTCGAAGCCCGGGAACTTGATAGGCTGAGCGTAGTTGACCATGGACGACAGCCACGGGTGGACATTGGTCGTGCTTCCGGTGTACGGTTGAACCACTGCTAGCTCTATACTGTCGCCTAATGCAGGGTTAGTGACAGGCTGAGGGTGGTTCGCGGTGGTGGTCGAAGCGACCGTTTCCGGCACGCTAACTTCTTCCTGAACACATGACAAATAAAAGTAAAATAGCGTAGGAATTATCCCGTACGAGTCCTCAATGCTATAGGATAAATCCCGTACAAGTCGCAAGATCTTTACACAGTCTCGCTCAAAAGTCTCGCTCGCACATCACGCACCAAAATGTCTCTCGCGCACGCATTCCCACTCGCTTTTAATGCACAGCCCCATTCGCTCTTTCTCACCCTTGCACCCTTCTCACTCGCGTCTTTCGTCCATAATCAAAATTCACGCAGTCGCGTACACGCTTTTCTCAGTCGCTCGGTTCCAGACACTCTTCCTCGTATTCTTTCAGCCACTCAAGATTTTCCAAACGCAGTCACACTCTTTTCCAAACATAGCGGCGCTGGTCCGTCACAACAAACCATTCATCCCATAATAGCGTTATTCCATAAGACACCCGGAGACTAACGGAAATTAGGGTGACCATGCTGGACACGAGGGTTACCTTCACCGCTTGCTGCTCGACTACCGCTGCCACTACTGGCGGTGCGCTGGCGTCCTCCTTCACCTCATCCTCGATCACGAACTGACCTTGCCTGAACAACTCCAACTCGTGCTTCTCCACTTCCGGCTTCAAGCGCTTGTTCTTGATCAAAATCTTCCGCTTCAACATGCTCGGCGGCGGTAGCGACACGCCTGCTTCCAGCTGTCGATATCCGAAACATCGGTATACGTTAATTGTCGTGTTTTCCATTAAAGATATCCGCTTCCGTAGTTTTAACGCTTGTCACAGCGTTCATGGAACGCGCTAATTCAACGCGTACTGAATTTCTCAAACATTATTTGGTAAATGCTTACGAATGTCAACCATAGAATGCATCGTACAATAAATGTCCGATATCCTAATGTCAATCATTGTTGCTCAACGAATGCAGTGCACAGAGAGACGACAATATTTCCGATAACAATAAACGACACGTTCGCGCATTTTATCGATGAGAAGGTAACGTCGGTTTCCGATCGAAGATAAGATTGTGTTTACGATGAATTTAAATGTGAGAAGTTCACTCGACACGATGTGTAATCGCAGAAAAGTATGAAGTAGATACGACTGATTAAATTATGTAATAAGACTGTAGAGAATTCACTTACGCTTCCGCTGGAATGACGTTACTTCTCCATCAACTCGATAGATTCCGATTGACGTAGGCGCTCTTATTTTTATCAGAATATTCCCTCGCCAACGCAAGAACGTTTAATCGCGAACAAACGTGACACTCGTTCGTGGAACTTTCCGTTATTTCTGTCCAGCAGAATTAAAAATCAATGGTAATGATTGGGACTCACGGGATACTCTTTAAGAGGTTCCTTCAGCAACAAGTCGCCCAGAATTTCTTCGCAGTACTTGGCCAGTTTGTATTGTTGCTTCTTGGTGCAGTGGTTCTCGAAGCTGAGGATCACCGGATACTCGGACGTGACGAAGGCGGTGTCTCTGACCGCGTATATCACGTCCCTGAAGAGGATATCCGTGCACATGGCCTTGCCGTGAGTGATTATCGGTTCTTCGTCCTCTCCTTTGCCGTCCCAGCAATCTAGCTCCACGCACCTTTCAGGGAAAACACCATTGACGATAAGGTTGCCGATAGTATCAGGTTATTTGCAACGAAAAACAAGGGATTGCAGGTCTGCCTATCTAAAAGGTAACCAACGATCAACCGTAACATCGAGTTCCGCTCTGATACAACTATTAGATCGCTATATCATTTTATTTATCCTATTCCAATTTTACTCCTGCATACAACACTCCAAAAATATAAATTTGCGTATGAATGGGAAGTAGAAAGATGACGAATGTTAGAAAATATGCGCAGTTCGATATGAAATCCTGCGCCGTCTCGATGTGCAGAATTCTGGCATCGTTTAGAGGTGTTATATTTTACCGGCAACTTTGTTTCCTATTTCATTCGAAAATTTACAATGCAATCCGTTTCGCTGCAATTCTACGAGCAGAATTCACGGCGACACGATAGAAGAACACCCACGCACCTGCAGCCGGCGAGCAACACCTGTCTATACATCTCGACGCTGCTCTTGCCGCCAAATTGCCTGCCGCTCAAATAGGTGTTGTGGCTGGAGTTGATGTAGTAGTGAGCCAACGGCTGATCCATGTCCATGTAGACGTCTAGCCGGTCCAAGAAAACGGGCGCGTTCTCGTCGGACATCAGGTACCTTATGAAACCATCCTTCGTCATCGTTTCTGGAAAATCGTGTCCACTTTCGAAATGTCACCGTTTCACAGTTAGAAACTAGATTAAGCGCTGGGACCGTGCATAACGATCATTCGACGAAAAAAGCCTTAAAGCGTCGAGCCGGTATAATGAAGCTAACTAAAGTCTATAGTTCGTGAACACTATTTGCATATTGCAAGTGAAGATTTTCCCGAACGATAATAATAGCTTTCTCGCGTTTCAAGATAGACCGTAGACTAATCAACAGACATGTGACGTTAGCAAAATGAGTCTTCAATAAAATGACGCACGCCGGTTAAGCTATCTTTAGAGCCTTCCCTATTACCTATCATTACGATAACATGAAGTGGAACTAGGAAATATTTTATTTTCAGTTTTTATTAATAGATTGTAAAAATAGTTTCAACTATTCTTAATCTACCCTGAAAAAGTCTTCCCTATTATCCCTCTGACATTGAACTAATTCCAATGAATAACACGATCCTAAGACAAAAGTTTAAAGATCTTGTACACTGTTAATTAGAATCATTAAATGCTTTTTACAAAATTCAAGAATTGTATCTCTATTCCATTCCACTGTTATATTTCCGAACAGTCAACATGATGTAATATGGAACGGATTCGCTTAGCGATCAGAATAAAATTTAAGAAAGTGAATTTAAGTCTCGGATACTGGTCTAATTCTTCGGAATCAGGCGAAACGTTATTTCGAACAGCGAGCACAATGCATTCCGCCTGCGTTGCGCGGTGCTGAATGGACCCGCGGACAATGCTTCCATTTGATATTTTATTGCGACATGCGGAATGTATTTTCCCGGGATACTCGTTGTTGGCAACGGTCGTTCTCCCGGAAGCACTGGAAACAGGCACGGAAACACTGCCAACGGAGCTCTTACTTTGATTCCGCGCCGTCTCGTTCTGTTCGTAATCCTTTATGATCTCCACCGCCCTCTTCTCGTCGTACAGGGGGTAAAGGATCTCGTTCAACGTCGGGTCCCGTTGCTTCTCGTTCAGGAACGTGACCAGTTGCTCCAGATTGATCGTGTCCGCCTTTCCTTGGGTGCTGGAACACCACCAACCGAACGGACGATCGTTACCGGGATTACCGAGCCACCGATCCACCTTTATTTTCACCTTGCCTTTCTACTCACATGGACTGGAACAACTCCTCGATGTCGTTCCTCGGACAGATTTTGTGGTAAAGCGCGTAAAACACGTCGAAAGTGAAGTCGTTCGGCTCGATCACGTCGTTCTGGAAATTGGGAGTCGTGTATTCGTCGCGGGGCTGTTTGATTATTTTGAATTTACCAAATTTACAACGATGAGTAGAGCGAGGCGAATCGAAATAAGAATTCGATTCACGTTTCTTCTGTCGCATTAAATTTCCCATTCTTTGTTTCTTATTTCCGAAAGAAAGATTAAAAGATTCTTTCTCATGATTTATCATTAATCTTTATTTTCATTTCTCTATTGTCGAATAGAAAATTCGTCTCGGTCTACTCCATTGTGTTTAATAATGTCGTACACCAGGACAATTATAATAAGGTTCAGGATTTCATAGAAATTTGTACACTTTACAGATTCTATAGAAAATGTTTCGAATCAAGTTTATTTCCCACCTTTCCGCTGGGTAGGCCTAATTCGGCGAGGCACTGATAGACGAGCTTTTCCGTTTTCCCGGACGCGAAAGTTCTCGCGACCACTTTCACTGGAACTTTAGCATTCGGATCAACCAGCATTCTCAGCCGCATCCAACTGGAACACGGCAAATAGCCTGCGTATTTTTCACCGATAAAAAGGATGCTCCCTATAACTTTCGTATTCGCGCGGCGAAATGGTGGCCCGGTCGGCGGGACAGCGGAGTCACAGGACACGGGTACACGCCGATAAAAGTTTCACGGTCTTGTTTACGCTCGTTGGCGAGTTCTGCGCCGAACTCTAAGAAGAAACTTCTCGCGATGCTCCGGACCGCATAAAAATCATGAAAACTACCGTACTTGTTTTCCTTCCCGAGAACCAATTCCATGAAAAACACCATTGAGGAATATCAACAGTCATTTTATTCGGTCAATATTTTCCAACTCTATCAATTCGGACGAATTTAACGAATTTGTCAAATGATCAGAAAACAGAATATTAAACTTCACCTAGCAAGTTTATAAAACAAAAATAATTCGTAAAAGAATTGTTTATCATTTGGTCTAAGACAAAATCATTAATACGGAATTTCGTAAAGACCTTCGCTTATAAATAATGAAAATAGACGCGGAGGTATAGAAGAATCGAGTGCCGAACCGCTTTGTCGGAAAGTCTGGACCATCTGTTCCCTCGAACAATTCGACGTCTGTCAACGTAAGCGGAACGCGTCGCATTGTTCGAGGGAGACGTTTCCGCCTAATTATTTCATGCAAACACCGATACGTCGTGGGCGTGTATTTCCGCGTGCGTGTGCGTTCGAGTAATTACATAAGAAAACTCACTGTTTCTTCAAGCACGTGAGCGGGCAAACGTTGTTGGCTTTCACGTTGTGTGTAATCGATCGGATGCCATCCAGCCATATCTGTCATGGGACACAGGCAAACACGTGGGCGTTATTGATTACCTTAATAATTGCTTAGCCAGTGAATTGGAACATTTCTCTGCGTTTAATGGGCGCGCGGTTTCTACAAATGCCGAGCGGAGAAAGCGTTTCCGCTTTAAGACGCGGGCCCGATAATGCGCGACTCAGTTTACCAATTTTCCGGGAGATGGATCAAACGACAGGATGATTATATAACGGTTGGACTCGCCTTTGCTGTCGCTGAATCCGGGCAGACGACGTGCTGGTAATTAATATTGGTATAATCCACGCCCGAGCAGATGGTTAAACTTTTCTCGTCTAGCTGAACGCCGTGCTTCGTTAGCAGCTTGTCGAGCAGCTTCGGGTCCTGAATGAAATTAGAAAATTCCAGTCAAAGTACAGACCTCGGTATTGTCTCCAATTAAAGAATACCACGAACGTCGACGTTTGTCTGTAATATTCACGATTTCTTTCTAATTATAAAACAACTTCACGGTGTTCGACGTATCTTCACATCAAGAAGCAACGATTCCTTCGCAACGAGATTTTTTTTGAATTTTGATCAACGATTCGATCCAGTGAAAAGCTTAATTGAAGCGCCGCGGTGGTAAAAAGAAAAGCTATTGTCGCTTGAATTATTCACTTTGATTCTTTTTATCTTGGCCCCGTATAAAAGAAGTAGCTGAATGTATCAGAATACGGACTCGTCAAAGAACTCGTTAAAGACCCGAACGAACGGAAGACAAACATTTCCTGGCGCTCGAGTGCCGTGTCAAAGCACCCGCTTCCGTCGGACAGTTTCGAAGTTCTCCCGGTGAATATTTTAAACGGACGCCCGTCGGTTCGTTCCAGTTGCTGACAGACAAGGGCTTTCTTACCTTCGGCACGCCGCCGGCGCGTATGTCGCTCACTTGACACAGCTCTATCACGTCCCCGTCCTGTCCATGAAACAGAAATCAAGGAGAAAAGAAATGAGGCGCTGCGTCCTGCTTCAACCGTTCGGCATTCACCGAGCTGATTCATGTTTCCTTAACACCAGCTCCGCGGAACGCGTCCATTTCGAGCATATTAAATTTTATAAACAGCATTCGGTCAACGTTTACGAGAATTTTAATCGAGGCAGTTACACGAACATGTATTTTAATCGTCCACTTTTGAACCTGCAATTTCCAAGACCTAAATGAACGAATATCAAGGTTTCTAGGAAGCATACAATAAACTGTGTACCATGAATGTTCGTAAACCTAGACTTAACTGACTAGATAATTACGCAAATGTTGACCTTTATCTTGTATATTGGGGAAATTGGAATAACAAAGAAGTTAAGTTTGTTCCTGTCAAACACTGCATTAGACTTCTAATAAAATGAACAATTTATTAAAGCTTTAACGTGTTGTGTATATTATGAATGCTCGAGAACTGCAGTTCATTCGTTAAATTCTTGGAACTGAAATACAAATGCTTCTTACGTTGCGAGCATGATTAAGTTTTTACTGTATAAATTAGTATAAGCATGAGTCACATGATATTGAATTGTAAACGTTTCTTTCTTGAAAATCTTTTCTACCGCTTCTTCGACGACGGTACCATTATTAGGGATCAACTCCAAGCAAAAAGTCCATTGTCTTCAGTAAGAGAACGTTGTTGCAGAGGAAAGTTTCTTCGAAGAATGGTCAAGTTTTATTATTCCTTATTTGTTTCCGAGAATAAAGTTTGGCCCACTTAGCTACGACCTCGATGCTAGAGATTCAAGATACGCGGTTCAAGATGGCGGACGCCTGTGGAGAGCCGGAAGACAATGGAAAGGTGCACTCACCCTTCCTACACTTTGCCAGTAGATGAAGAAGCCATATTCGTCCACCTTGAACGTACAGTCCGCCTCCAGTTCCGTGTTGTCCTTTTCCTCCGACCATCGGTCGAACATGCATCCCCGACGGAGAGGAAGAGGTACCTCGATCTGCCAGTTGAACTCGAACCTCTTCGTCATCTTCCTTGCACTGAGAGGAACGTGTCAATCGTTAGACGCCTCTGGTTTCGTCCGGTTTCTAACGTTAACACGAACAATAGCATTAAAATTGTAATACCTTTGGAATGTTGAGTTTACAACATATCAAAAATTATATATATCGTTTAGTCGAATTATTGGTTAATTTTGTTATGATAATATAGAATTTAATGAAGATTATTTTCTTGGAATAATTTCGAATTATATATATATAATTTTCCATAAGAATACTATCGCTATAAAAAGTGAGTTCTACTTAATCTCAACAGATGAATTTTTGCACTATTTTATTAAGCCATTAACTAACGAATTAGTGCTTATCAAAGCTCAACACGGAGAGAGCAATTTCTTTAATAAAACAGAAATAGAAAAATTCATATTTTTCGTAGCGATTGTTCCCTTTAGCTCCTTACGCTTCATACACTCAACGAAATTGGTTCGTTCTATGTATCGCCGAGCAAACTATTTTTCAAATCTACACCAAACATTGTATTACCCGAGCGACATTGCTGTCAAAGTATTAAAATTATGCACGCAGCGGCGCCAAGGTTTCCGAACGTCACTCGTAAATAACACAACTGGAAAGTCCCTATTCGCTTCAGTTATTAATTACACTACTAGTCCCGGCGAAATAGGAATTCCCACGAGTTCTTATCGCGTCAGTTCATTTCCGATTCCAGCGTCGTTCCCCGAGGTTACGAAAATTGGCGGCGCGCCGTTGAATACTAAACGATTGCCGCGTTCGCCGTTTGATGCAATTCGTTTATACCCGACGCGAGCCGTGTTGCTTGTCGACCGTCACGTCCCAATCGACCCGCGCACCTCTTTTAATCCTAGCACTCTTAAAATGTGAATCCCTCAAATCGAAAAATTGATTAACTTTATACCAAAACCATTTCCAATCTGCAAAGAATTCTCCAAAATTTCGAATCGTTCGATGTTCAAAGTTTGATGTACAAAAGATTTTATCACTCTATACGCGAAAGATAAAGAAAAGAAAACGAAGTTAGGTGTATTAGGAAAAGCTCATAATTAGAGTTCTGGGGTTAACCCTTTATACTCGAGATGCAACTCACAATCTCCATTTAATTGCATATAGAAAAATTACAATATTCGATATTCAATATCAAATTTCATGTAACGTAATTCGACATGAAACGTTGAAATAAAATGATTCTATTCGTTGATTCCTGTACTATTTCTATTTAATACAATCAATTTAACACTAGAACTACGTACCAGTCAAAATGACTGGTTTCGATTCTTTCGTTTAGCAATTATTGATATCTCCGAAGCATTGAATATTCGAAACGATTTTCAAAATAAATAGTTTCATTTCAGTACTATAACGAATGCCTGAAGAAACTGAAAATAATCTATTGTCACAATTTTTATAGGAATTCCATATTAATCGTATTAAATGCTCGGTAGTTCTGTTAACCGATACTTTATCAGAAAGTGATGAATATATGTAACGAAAAGATGTTCGAGTGCAAACGGTTAATAGAGTTTTCCAGAAGCCCAAATTGAGTATTAACCTCCGGCAGACTGTGGCAAATAGGTGCTTTCGACCAATTTCAGCGGCATTAGAATCCAATTAAACGTTGATCAGGTTAAAGAGAGGGCCCCGACCGTTCATGGGAACGTTAACTGGCACTCGAGGAGGCCGGTCACAAGGAACTCCACGTTCGACGATGCATGCCCCGTCCGTTTCCGTCGCGCCGTCGAACAGAATCTAGGTGAGCGAGCATCAGTCAATTTTGTTATTGTTGGCTTCGGTGGCCGATCCCGGCGAGGGTTTAACACTATTTTCTCAACCTGGGCGGCCTCTTCGAGCGTCGAGTTAACCGTGTTTCTTAACCAAATTTCCCCGGTGCATCGAGCCGCCTCTGTCGTAATGCGCTCGTCCTATGTTCTTCCCTTCTCTTTGAAAATACCTCATGAATACCTTTGATTTCCCAGCGATCGAACGACTGAATTGGATTCTTTGAAGATTAGATTCGATACGATACACTTGCCATGATATTGGATCGGCCGGGTAACGGAATTTCTTTGGGAACTGATTTTAAAACAACGGAATCGACGTTTGTTTATTTGTTTCGTGTGCGCGATAACGTTCGATAACGTTTGGACACTTAGGATAAATACCGTTCACAGAGAAGAGAGAATAAATGAAAAGAGAGAGAGAGAGAGAGAAATTGTATTGCCATTTTGCTGTGTTGCCGCAGTTTGCTCGGTTATACTTCTCACGCTAAACTATACACAAACTCAAGTGTCAATGCTTATCTCCTTCAGTAGGAAAGTGAAGATTATCGCTCGTTTGACGAGTGATCGATGAGATTTTTCGTGGAATATTTTTTAGCAGGAATGTTTGGACAGTGGCTTATCAGAAGTTGACAAACGATGATTGGTTATTACACCTAATATAAATACCGAGGGAGAATGCGATAAGAAGACGTGTTCGATGTGCTAGGACGTACGACTGTAGTAAATCTAACAATACAATTATAGCAATAACAGACGAAGGTTCCATGATTTAAAAATACCTCAAGAAACATTGAGAATATTCATGAAGTTCCAACGATATCGAATAATTCACGGCGCGATTCAACTTATTCTTATTCATTGCTACCTACCGATTACTTTCGCCTAACGCGTACACCAGAACTCCATCAAGTTACCATCATAAAGAATCGACAAAAATAATCCACGAAACTGAAGAGACAAATATCCAGAACTCTGAACAATATGTTTACGAAGTAGAACTACAGGAAGTAGTTTGAACCAGACTGAACTATTCAGGAGTCGTTTAGGCTATTAAAGATCCTGAAGCACAGGAGTGAGGGAAGCGGTATAGTCCAAAGTTCAAAATATGAATCACCATCGATTTCCCAGATAGCATCTACAAAGGCGCACCACTCGAGCAACAAATCACTCTGGAAGTAAATTAAAACATTCAGGTATAAAAGTCTCTTAACGACTACCATTCTCTCCGGAGCAGGATCCTTAGCCTCTTTTAGAGTCGACGAGATTCGCGGAACGTCCGGGAATCGATTTAGCGTGTCGTAGCGGGGATCGCTTCAATTTATTCGCGATTCAATAGGAGGGGAAATATAAAATCGACGGGGCCTACGTGAAAACGTGATGAGACCGGCGCGGCTATCGCTGGAATCGGGTCAGGCGAATACGAATTTCGCTAATCCGAGCCTCCGGCCATTCGGTCGGGGGCTGGACAATTGGGTTCATTTCGGGGGAAGGTTCGCCCCGGCGAGAAGGATCGACCCCTCGAGCTCGAGTGATCTCGAAACTCGGACTTTCTTTGCGGAGGGCCAAGACTCTCCGACCCCGTGCCTGCCGTGGAACGATAACAAAGGATTGAAACTCCGCCGGTGGCTGTCTAGCCGACAGTCCGTGAAAGGCCACTCGAAACGGACGCTTTTGCGCGGCGGATCGCGACACGCTTTCGGTTTTTTCGTCCGGTCGATATCGTATCGAAGCGCAAAGGATTTGCTGGCATCGTTGCACCGGTTGACCTTTATTCCCTGGCTGCAAAGTAGGCCGAACCATAGACAGGGACGGCTAGGTGAAAATAGAACGGCGATAGAACACGGTGCACACCTCCCCTGCTCCTCTTCCTGTGCGCCGAGAGATAAATCCTCCAACTTTTTTTCTTCCCGCGGAAATGAAGGGACTCCGGGCGATATTTTACGATGCTGATCCCGTCCGTTCCGGTGTATTCATTTCGGCGCTGGATGTCGAGGTGTAGCCTTGCGATTGGTGTTGGAAAGATGAAATGGAAATTCGATACGCCGATGGAACGATATTATGATTTTCTGCAGTTTGTAATTGGAAACGGTTATACCGGCGATGAATGGGATATCCCGCGATGGACCGTAATCGGAAATTCGATTATCCGTTATGTGTAGCAATAAGTTCGGAGGGCTTGAACGGTCTCGAATTGTTACGCTAATAGGTTGGAATTATTTCTGTGTTATTATAGAGAAATACCGTTTTCTCGTGTAAATCGGATATGTTTCGAAGTATGGATAAGTTTTAACGCTTCGCGCTTCTATGTCGAGCGTGACGCATCAGTTTTATTCGCGGTGTGCGTCTTTGTTAAGATACTTTTAAAATAGATTATATTAATATGTTGTTTTCAATATTATTAGTAAGAGGAATTGTTTACTGTTTCTTAAAATGCGTTTCAAATAAAACATCGCAATAATACAGAGCTATCGAGGAAAAAGTGCAAAAGAAATTCGGAGTGCGAAGGGTTAACGAACACTGCGAGTGATTTCCAGCGAAATCGAACATCACGGTACATTCTACAAACACGCATCTAAATTTATGAATCTACAGCCATCTTCGATTTACCGCGTATCTCGATAAAAACGTTCCGAATTTCCGCGAGATCGAATCGTAGGTGTCAGGATCTGTCGCGAGTCCTCGGGCGAATTGGTGGCGCGCGTGTAAACATCGGATCATCGAAAAATTGATATTCCGTGAAATCTCGGCTGGGGATATTCTCATGAAATCGCGCGAGGAGTCACGGGAGCGGGTAATGTAAATCGACGATGTGGAAGGTGCGAAGCGTAAAGATCACTTACGACGTTAAGACCGTTTCTTCCTGGCTGACTTGCACATTTTAGTTCCCCTCTGCACCTGCGGACAGGAAAGATCGGATAATGTTTGCAGCGTTGCGGTGTCGATCGTTCGCGGCAAGAGTCAAGGTCTCCGAATCTATCTATAGCGGCGCGGACGGGTACACAAATCGGATTCACTGAACTTTATGACCGATCTTCGACAGATATTTCACGCCGTCTGTCAAACATCGTATCCTCCCCGCACTTCCGGCCGCGACTCTCGCACGCATTTGATCTCCTGGCCGCGATTTACCGAATACTCGCCACCGTTTCGAAACGTTCCCGCGGTTACCAGTCACAAGCGGACGTTGTTCGTGTCCGTTTGATATCCCGACGTTTGATCTCGCCGTTCCCGATTAAAACAATCGAGCCGTTCAGCTCGCCCGGCCGATCAACCACCCTTTCATCATTATTTTTGAACCGTGAACGTGGAACCCGATATTCCTACGGTCATTGTAATCGGTAATAATCACTGTTTACGGTGATTAATAGGAACGTTGGTATAATTCAGAATTAATAATCGAGCGACGTATTCGAAACAATCGACGCAATTCGCTTAAAGGATTGCTCTCATAAATTTCTCGCATCCGATATCCAACGAAATTTTTGCACGTATCATCGAGAAGATGAACTTTCAAACCTGTACAAGATATGCCACCTGAATTCGAGCGACGCGAAGTTTTACGGTTCACGTGTAATTAAGACTTCTAGAGTCCAATATCTAAAGCATACTGTAACTATAATACCGTCTACCAACGGACGATATTATTACTGCAACATCGATTCGCATTCCCAATATTCGCAAACAAGTCGCTCAAGGAATCGCGAACAGCGATGCTCCGACTAACGAAGCGCATTTAATTAAACGCTTATCGGTGTCGCAAGACCGGCTATTATTCAGTAACCAGATTTATCGTCCGCGAGCGAGAAAGGTCGAGCACCTATCGAAGCCGCTATCGCACGCGGACATCCCGCGCGGCTTATCGCGGTGTTATCTTAATTGACGCAGAAGGAAGTGCAACCTCGAGAAAGTCGAGCAGCGACGCGCTCCGCATCGCGTCACGGCTTAAATATTACTCGCGCGCAAATATTTTCCCCGTCCGTGCGTCCGTCGAACGTAACCGTTCGCAATTTTTCCACCGCGGTCGGGTCTGCCGCCTCGAAAACGAAAACGGGCGTTCGGCCATTAAGCGTCGACGATATCGTTCAACGTTTCCGCAGCCGCCGCCCTCCATTTCTCAAGGAATACGTAACCGAGAGGAACGCGCGAGGGAAACGAGCGTTCGACCGGCGAAGGCGATGGGAAAACAAAGTCGGCGGAGACTTTTAGGGGTAGGGAGGCAGAAGTGGAACGAAAGAATCGCCGGATATTTCCCGTATATCCCCATCCGCGGCTACCCTGGCCCGCCCCCAATCAGAATGAAAGCGCCTGGATCCAGCTATAAATCTCTACGAGGGTAAGGTCGACGTTGGAGCAGGTTCTTTCGGAGCAGAGTCAGCTGACGGTGCACGGGATCGATTCCGGAGGAAAATTTCTGTGCCGCTTCCCTTGGAATAATATCCTATTTTCTGAATGGCAGCCGGTGCACGGCTTCAATGTTTCCGCTGAATAATTGGCGATTGTTTGCATGGTCTTATCGAGATGTAGCTGCACGCGCTGTTGTTTGGAAACGGGCAATTTCTGTTCTTTCACGCGAGCACTGTCGAACAGTTAAAATTTTCAAGCATTTAGAAAAATCAATTTAACTCCTTTGAGAAATTACTAAAGAAATTGATTCGGTAATACGCGAACTGAATTGTAAATCTATCGAAATGTCAATAGACGCATTCTTGGAGTTTGTATGGAACAATTTAGAAAAGGCAATTTCCCTGTTCACTGCGTCTAATGTTAAGGAGCAAAAGTTGCTTAAAATTTTCAAGCATTCAGCAAAATCAATTTAAGCAGCAACTTTTGTTCCTTTGAGAAATTACTAAAGAAATTGATTCGGTAATACGCGAACTGAATTGTAAATCTATCGAAATGTCAATAGACGCATTCTTGGAGTTTGTATGGAACAATTTAGAAAAGCCAATTTCTCTGTTCAGTGCGTCTAATGTTAAGGAACAAATGCTTAAAATTTTCAAGCATTCAGCAAAATCAATTTAAGCAGCTTTTGTGCCTTAACATTAGACGCAGTGAACAGGGAAATCGACTTTTCTAAATTGTTCTATACAAACTCCAAGAACGCGTCTATTGACATTTCGATGGATTTATAATTCAGTTTGCGTATTACTGAATCAATTTCATCCATTCCTGATGCATAGCGTTAAATAACGCGTCGTCCGTACATGCATTTGTTTGATTAAACAGGTTCTGTGTTTAGAAAGAAGCTGCTTGGCTGTAATATTTTGGTATTGCGGACGATACGTTTCAAACGTGAAATACGCGAGAGGAGTATTTAGAAAGTTATGCGACGTTGTAAATATTGTTCAAAGAATACCGAAGTTGAATAAGTAATATTCATGTAAATAAGCAGTAATAAACGTACCGCGCAATGCGTAATCTGTATGATTCATCGCATTCTTCGGAGTCGCAACGGGTGTCTCTTTAAAACTCGTTTCTCGGAAGCTTCGAATTCGCCGGGAACTTATTAAACTGTCCCGGCGAGGCGAGACCAAAATTTCACTGGTTGTCTCTAACTTTTCCACCCAATTTACCGAAGCAAATTCCGGGGTGAGCTCGGAGCGACGCAGATTGAATACTAATCGGCGAATTACTCGGATTTGCCTTGCTAAACCGGTGGCATGGAAAAAAAGGTAACGCGATTCGGGAGCTTGAAATAGCGGTTCATGCCGTACTCGCTTTGTACCCTATACGGGCGAGCGCGCTATTCGCATTTCTATACAAGGTGCTCTTAAAATCGTAGCACGAAGATAAACAAGACGATTCTGCGTGAACAAATGAATCGAGAACAGAAAATAAACGTTTCCCCTGTGATACTCCGTCTTCGAGGTAATTGCCTCTGAGAATTTGTCAAGCGCGATCAATACGTCTGCTCGTAACTTTCAGAGTAAAATAATTATCTCAGAAACGAAGTCTTCTATAGGAAAGCTTTATTGCACACCTTTGATGAAAATTTTCGTATAGATTCGTTTATTTTAGAACTGTAATTCGAAGACACTCTGTATACAGACACTTTATACTTGATATCTTTACGAGTATAATCATCGGTATCAAGTGAAATGACAACGAACGGATTTCATTAGCTCGAGTAACATACTGTCCCTAGGCATGTTTAATAAGTGTCACGCAAACGTCCAAGTTCAATTAGCTTCCAAATGAAAGCTTCCGTGTACAGGATTCATTCCTTACATTTTCGACTCATTTTTCATAGGGTCAACCAGGCATAAATCAACTGAATTTTTAGAAAGTTTCAGGTGATCAAACTTCAACTGACACCTTAACACTATTTCTATCGAGGTGTAGACGCCTGTCGAATTTTCTACTTAAAACTATTTTCCAGCCTTAGTCACATATTCTGAACTGACCTTCGACTTTACTAATAACGATTATAACATTAACCACAGGAAATGTCCAAAACTCAATCTGAGAAAAATTGTTGAACTGAGAACTGTAAGTTAAAATTTCCGAAAGTGTCTTTTGACACCTTCGGTAGAAATAGTGTTAATTACGGTTCTCCAATAACTATCGATGCAAGATATGCAATACACAGATACAATTCAATATTGAAATGAGATATAGAATCCTCTCTTCAATTTACTCTAAAGTGTCTACACGAAACAATCTCTATTTGCATTTAAACTACACTTCGTATTCCACTATTATTATAATTATCCCATTTAATTGCGCGTTTAACAGTCAAGGTAAAGAGACTCGAGCTGAAGACGCAACAATCTACATTGAGGAAAACAACAATCTGATTAATCAAGGTTCTTGTGTATTCACCTTTGTCTTATTAGCTAATCACTTGGTGTCTAGCGGGACGTCCCCGAGGCAAGAGAGATGTTTTGTTTACGGTTTTGATCGATTACGTGTAACGCGTTAATCAATAGTAAATTAGTATCGAGAATAAGGCGAGAACGGATGAAAGCTGACCGACGAGACCCACGTTCCTCAGTTTCGTCGCCAAGCGATTTCCCCGCTGTTAGTGCCATAATTTCGGTGGCACCTTGTATAACGAAAGCCGAGCGTAGCGTTGTATATACAGAGGCGGCGCGTAAACAGAGGAGAGCGTTACGAAAATAATGCGGCTCGTGCCGACGCTCCTCCATTGGCACGGTGCAAAACATTTCTGGCGTCTGACACTGAACGATTCTCAGGCTGACGACGCGGCCTCTACTTAACGGCAAACCGCGGGACAAGAGTCGTACGTATTTCGGTCGTGAAAGCGGAAGAACGCCGGGATGTCGTAACAACGACAAGCGCTGCACCGTGCCGTTGATAATCTCTGGGATACAAGGCCGGCCACTGACTTGCCAGTAAAACCTTTCGCCCAGGGATCTCCTTAATGGCGCCATTACGTGTCGTTAAAAAGTTTCTCAAACCGCCGTCGCGACACAGCGAAAAGATGAATCACTCAGATTATGGAAATTGCGGATGGTATTAGGTTTCTGTTGGCACCGCCCATTAATCTTGTTGGTTTTCGATTTTTTTTCGTGAGAACCTCGGGTATTCCCATGGGGAAATTGATGAATCGATGGAAGACGGGATTAATGCTGTGGAATGATTGCAGCGAATTGAGATAAGTGGAAGCTGGAGATACTAAGGAAAAGGCTTTTATAGGTTCAGTTGAATTTTATTGTTAGAAATAATCGTAGGATAACTGTTATGCTTGAAATTCAAGTGGTCTTGAGAATATTAAGAAAAAGGCTTTTCTAATTTTACTGTAAAGAACAAGAAACTGTTTCCTTTCGAATTCAAGTTAATTTTGAAAATTCTAAGATCTCGGTTAAGTTCAATTGCGTTTTAACGTTACGGATTATTAAATTCCGTCGAATCTGGTTGAACAGTGCAGCAAT